AATTTTCTGGGTGTTAGGCTGTAAGGCTACTGTTATCAATAAGAGCCAGGAGGATTCCCCAATATTTGAGGACCAGATGATCACAGGTAGATGATGGGTTGTAGGGCTGGGGATGATGTGTTCCTGGGTCTGATGGGCAGGACTATGGTTCAGTGCCCAGTGTTCTGAGCTCCCGCAGCTATGCTGGCAGCATGTGGTCAGGTGGTGAGTGGGCTAGCCAATGGTCAGGCAGAAAGCAGCAGCTGGGGTGCTGTTCACCCCACTTTCCTCTTCAGCCTGAGTTTCATTGGCTTTACCTGACCATGGAGATCCTCAAGGAGCCCCAGTAAGAGAGTGCAATAGGAAGGCTGTGTGATGGGCTTGAAGGCAAGACAGTGAGAGAGTGTCTCAGTCCAACAATCCCAGGTCACAGGGTCACCCTGCGCTGGAAGTGTGGCTCTGGTCCCAGCGCCACTTTCTCTTTTCTGCCCTGCCTGGAGAGGAAACTGAAGGTCACTGGGGCTGGAGAGATGGCTCAGTGTTTAAGAACACTGGCTATTCTTCCAGAGGACCCAGGTTCAATTCCCAGCACCCACATGGTAGCTCACAACTGTGGAAACTACCCAGTTTCGGGAGATCTGACAGCTCCACACCAATGTACATAAAATTTAAAAAAAGATAAATAATTCCATGGAGACCCCAAGTCTGGTTAGTATTTTCCTGGAATCTCTGAGCGAGCCACAACTTTAGGATGAATTCCTTATTTGCTTTAGTTAAGGCCAGAGAGGTTTGTTTTTTGCTGTTGTTGTTTTTGCTTTTGCATAGACCGGGAGAATCCTGAGTAATGCCAGTGTTTCGCTTTTATTCTTAGACATTCTAAAAACATGACGGTTTCAATGGCTGTGTGTATTATTCACTTGTTTGTATGATTGCTGGTTTGTGTTTCTTGGTAATAGTGTAACTATTTCCCATTACTTTCCCCTTACAGTGCTGATATTTCCCCCAAGCAACACGCAGAGAAAAATGGCAGCAAAAGAGAAGTTAGATAAATCTTCCCCCACAAAGCACGGCCGCTTTCCGATTCCTTGGCGGAACCCTTCCACTGGCCTCTTTCATCTCATTGCTTATTCATTCATTCTTTCCTCAGGTTGTAATGAATTCTCACTATTGGAAGGCTGCTGCAGATTGTTCGGGGCAGGAATAGCGCACAGTTTTCATCCCAGCAAATCAACTTTGATTGGTAGGGGTAATGTCAACATTGCATCTAGACTCAGTGGGAAAAGTGTGTTAGCATCTGTGCGCTGGGGCTGACATGGCCTTGGATGACAGAAATTTGTCTATACACCGATGCCTTTCTCACTCCTAGTACAACTTCCTAATATGAACAATCGCTGGTCTATGATCTTGCTCTGAGACAGTTTCTGCTTACTCACATTTGTTGAAGCAGCTCATTTCATAACTGTATTTCATCATCAGTTAGACAGTTCTTTCCTGGTGATGTGGTGCAGTCTGAGGGGCAGAACTGTTATAGAAAACTAATTTTAAAACTAATTCTGATTTCGCATTGACTAATTCCATCTTTTTGGCTTCAGCTTTCCACCTAAAAAGTTGAACTGAGCAACCACAGACCTGCCTCCTCGCTGTGATAGCCTATTTTTCACATGGGTCAGTATCTACCTCTTGGTAACATGCTCCATTGGCTCTGGTTACACAGTCTGGGCTTACGTTAAAGCCCTTCAAATATTTGTGTATCTGTATCCATCTGAGTTTTTGTTGTCGTTTTATTTCAAACCAAACACAACCAGCTTCTTTAATCATTTCTCATGGGAGAAGGGATTCTAGACTTCTCACCATTCTGGCCATTCTCCTCTGGATACTTGAAGTTTATTGTGTCTCCCTAAAAGTGCGATTCCTGGGATGGGAGCCAGGCTAGCTGTGCAATAATAGTATATCCCCACTACCCACCCACATGCTCAGTCTGCCACTCCTGGCAATTGATTGTCACCAACGCATAGCCAAAGGAAAGATAGCTGCCGAACCTTTCACAGATCCAGGGAGGTGTGTTCTGGAGGTCTACAGGTTTCCTTTCAGGCTACATCCAGAATGGATATATGGGTCAAGTCGGGAAGGGACTGTTGAGAGATTAGTAAGAGCCGGTCAACGTGGCAAGGTACTATGTCATAAACATGGAAGAAAGGCTTGGGGGGGGGATGCCATTGATGATTGCTGCAGTTTCTTTCACCCAATTCTCCCCCTCTTTAAAACACTGAGTATTTATATCTCCATAAATGGAATGAAGCTCTCTTCAAACTGACTCCTGCGCTGTACTCTTCCCCATTCTATCATATTAGTTTTGAGATACAGGGTCTCGCTCTGTAGTCCAGGCTGGCTTTGTCCTCACTAGATAGCCTAGGCTAGCCTTTAAAAGTCACAGCAATTCTACTTCAGCCTTTCCAGTGCTAGGATTTCAGGTGTAAGCTACCACGCTCAGTTATATTCTAGTATTCTGTCATTGGACCTCTTGGCCTCAGCAGATCTTGTGTTTATCCTTTATATAAAAAAGAATAAGTTCAAATGCTATCACTAAAGATAAAGAAAATGAGAACAAAGAAGAGAAAAGGCAGTTGTTAGGAGGGTTCTGGTCTGACCTGTGCGTGCTAGAAACATCCCCCAAAGAGACTGACAACTCCATTCACTGTCCCCTCTGCCTCCCAAACTTCATGCTTCTTACTCTTCAGATCATGAGGTCCTACATGAGGTGGCCCCAGACCACATCTCTGGGCCTTTCTCTTTTCTCCAAGCTCGTACCACAAAGCCAGCCTGCCTTATCTTTTAAACAGAACCTGCCAGCACTGATCACATACTTAACAATTTATTTATATGCCATCGAACATGGGACTGGACTCTACTCTGCTTCATCTGAAATTGATTTCTTCAGTGTCTCAAAGAGTTCTCAACATTCGCTGAGCATCCAGTTCATACTTGGGATGGTGTAACTTTTGAAGCATCTTTCCCAGTGTCTCTTAGAATAAGATTGGTGTCCCACGAGCACTTTCTGTTTTCCAGAGAAAGAACAACAAGTCTACTAATTGACAAGTGAGTCACTGGGGATGGGAGCAGTAGCTCGTGTGAGTAGCATGGGCCTGTTCCAAGAGTCCCCTCCTGAAGAGAAGAACCATGCTTGGATTTGAGGTGAGGCTGGGGGGATAAAGAGAGGGAAGATGGGGGACAGCGTGTATTTTTTCATCCCAGAACCACTATGTCTCATTACTATATCCCGGGCTTCCCCTTTCACATTGTTTTTAGGGACAGGCTGCTTTTCCATGACGTGGTGACAAAATGCCTATACTTGACAAGAGAGGAAAGCCCAAGCTGCCAGGTTGAGTGGGCATGTGCCATGTGCGCTCTGCAGGAGGAAATTGGAAGAAGGGGATAGAAGAAAAGTGAGTGTGGGAGAGAGAAAGCCAGGGACCCCAAGAAAAGCCAGCAAGAGGGGATCCAGGGTAAGTGGAGAGGAGGTGTGTAGTGTGAACATACAGCCAATGGACTGTGCCCATCATTTGTCCCAGGTAAAGTGACTCTCTTGGCACTGGGGAGAAGAGGAAAGGTGCCAGGGCAGGAGTAACTTCCTGGGTGGAGAGACTGAAGCCACCTCGGAAACAATTCTAAACTACTTCTGCTTTTTCAGTGCCTCCTTCCTCTCTATTATCAAGGCCTGGGTGCGGCCCCAGGATAAAACCCATTCCATTTGGATGGGAATAAGCATGAACCATGGTAGCTCCTACTCCCCGAGCATAAGTTTAACTCTTTAAGTGCTTTGTTTTTCCAAGCAGCAATAAAGAGTCAAGACGTTTTACAAACAGAATCATTCAATGGCAGGATACATTTTCCAAAGATGGCCAGAACAATATCCTCAATGGCGTACATCAAAGTGACTTTGACAATCCTACAGTTGAGTGGTAGGGACCTTTTCTCTCCCCTTGAACTTAGATGGGTCTTCTACACTTGCACCTGAAAATGAACGTGGCAGATTCTAAAATGTCTTGGTACCCTTCCCTCCAGTTTTCTTCCCGTGTAGCTTTTCATGGTTCTCAATTTTCCCAGTTTCAGAAAAACATTGACCCTGAATTTAGCAGCTTCTTCTTGCTGTTGTGCAAGACCTTACTGTTGGGTGGGTCAAATTCTCTCTCTCTCTCTCTCTCTCTCTCTCTCTCTCTCTCTCTCTCTTTTTCCTTTCTGGCAACTGTGTGTATAGAGAGACTCTCAAACACCATTCCAGATCACGCAGGAGGCATGAGAGTGAATGGTGATGAAGATGGCTTTTAATAGGGTGCTACCAGAAAAAATGACTTTCGGCCGGGTGGTGGTGGCTCACACCTTTAATCCCTGCATACAGGAGGCAGAGGTAAATGGATCTCTGTGAGTTTGAAGCCAGCCTGGTCTACAGAGTGAGTTCCTGGACATCTAGGACTGCTACACAGAGAAATCCTGCCTTGGGGTGGGAGAGAAAAATGACTTCCATCTCAAGATGGCATGTCAGCTATTCTTTGTCATTTTAATAACCTCAAATTACCATTGAGGGACCTTGAACTAAGATGATCTGAAAGTCCTTCAGGCCAGAAAGAAAAAGTCCTGCCTTCCACCTTTCTTTAGTCTGTAACTTTTCTTCTGATAATCTTGAACACAAGGATCTCAGATTCTAGGGGCTGGGGTTGGAGTTAGCAGTGGCTGGCGCAATTTCCCTGTTAGTTCAAACATCTGATATCTTTTAGGGCTCAATACCTGGCCTAGAGGCAGTCTCTTGATAGATAATTCCTTCTATATAGTGCTAGAAGCATGGGTAGTTTGGATAGACAGTGTTTCTGTGGGTTCTAGAGAATGTCCAGGGCTTTTAAGGAAGCAACTTTTTAGTCCACCTTGCCCAGAGAAGATCCAGTGTGTGCAAAGAGGAGGGAGGAGGAGGAGGTTGGAACCAGGGTGATGGCTTCCTTGGCTGTTCTCTAGCGGCAGACAGGAGACTTGCGGAAGTTAGGAGGATCCTGGAAGTTTCCAGGTGTGGAGCATCATGTGACTGGGCAGAGCCTCGCATCATGATCCAAGCGCCAGTTTACGCTGTCCCTCATGGTGTACCTTACACAAGGGGATTCTCCGTCTCCGAAACCACTCTGTCAGTGCTAGCATCCTTCTTCTTCCCTGGTGAGAAGATCAGAAGGTTATCCCTCAGTGTTTGGCCTCTTGGCATACTCGTCCTCAGGCTCTGAACACTAGATGTCCTGAGCCCAGTCACCCCTCACGGGAAAGGAGATGTCTGTTAAGAACAGGACGTCCTTCTTAATGTCTACACATCGTCTGCACCCATACCATGAGTCAGGGTTGTGCCGCGCTTGGTTATATGTTAAGATGTCGCGTGGCCGAGCTAGGACCAGTCCCTGGACATATTGTGTGGAGCTTTTACATCACCCAGGTGGCCAAAGTTGTTCTTTTATGAGCCTTTATGGTGTTAGGTTAAGCGAGAGAAGCCTATCACAGAGAACCGCATAGTGGGGTTTGATTCATGTGAACTGCCCAAAATAGATAAAGAAAGTAGACTCGTGGTTGTCTAGGGCTGGGGAAAGCACAGGAGAGTTGGTGAGTGTTGACTAAGTGGTTATAATTTTCTTTTGATGGGGGAGGTGAGAGAAATGTTCTAAAATTGGTTGTGGGTTGGAGGTAAAGCTCTGGATTAACTTAAAGCCATTAAATTGTGTACTTTAACTAGGAGAATTGTACAATGTATGGTTTATAGCTCAATAAAACAGTCTTTAAAAACAGATCTTTTCTTGGCTTCTACCTTCTTACCACAAATCCTGGGGAACAAAGGGTGTGAGACAGACCTTCTTTCTCACAGACGGGACCCCCTAAATGGAGTGTAGTCTAAGCTGTCCATCTCCACCTCAACTTCTCTGCCTCTTGAGAAAAATGTGCAAGTCCCTGTCACTCCTGGTCTTCTAGGACACAGCTAACAGAGTAAGGCCACCGAGCTCAGCCTGAAAGCAGCCATGAAGTCTGTGCCATCTGAGATGCTCCTTCAGGGGCAAGGTAGAGGGTATCTGGGCAGATGCAGTGATAATTATCTGTGTAGAGAGCCTAAAACCTGAGTTGACCAGGTTTCTTCACTGCTTTTCTGTAGAAGTTGGTGTTGTCAGCCACTGGCTGGGGGTGTGGGGTGGGGGTTGGGTGGGGGTGTGGGATGGAGGTGGGGCTTCTCTTGGGTGTTCCTTTCCTAAGAATGGTTGACATGGAGCTGGGAAGAGGTGGTTCAAGCTTTTAATCCCAGCACTTGGGAGGCAGAGGTAGGTGGAGCTCAGTGAGTTTGAGGCCAGCCTGGTCTACAAAGCGAGTTCCAGGACAGTCAGGACTGTTACACAGAGAAACCCTGTCCCAAAAAACCATAAAAAAAAGGTTGGCAAGAAGAGAGTAGGATTCATCGATTTCATCAATACTTTCCTTCAATAACCATTTACCACTGCTGTTCCTGTCTCAGGAACCGTGACGCTCAAGGGACTCCCTCCTCCCCCAAACCCTGGTATGTCTCCTCGTGACCCAGCCTTTGCTTTGGTGAGGCTCAAAAGTCAGCAGGAGCAGACAGGTAATTAGTCTTTGGGATGGAGTTAGTAAAGGCGATTAAAGGAAGGATATTAATCAGACTGAAGGTAGGCAGATGGGGGGGAGTTAGGGAAGGCTTCCTGGAACACACTCACCTTGAAGACTCAGCAAGAGAGGGCCGGATGGAAAGGGAAAAAAATCACAGAAAGTGCGCTCTAGGCAGAGAGACTATAGTGTGCACAGGCCTGTGGGGAAGGCGAGAGAGTGGCTCCTTTGAGGAACTGCAGAAGGAGGATCAAGTTGTTCTGGTTGGAGACCAAAGTGTGAGGGGAGGGCCAAGACATGAGAGAGGAGATGCAAAGAGGCAGGCCTCTGAATCCAAGTGGGAGGAGGTCCAGCCCCGGCTTCTTCCCAGCATTCACATCCCTTCCCCCATGTTCTGCACATATCAGACTCGTACCTGAGCAGAGGCCATGGTGCCATACCCCAAGGAGACCAGCTAGAATCAGGAAGAGCGTGATGGGCACCACCACCAGCAGCACATCCTTGTAGGAAGCCTTCCCGGAGGCTGCATCATGGAAGGCAGAGTCAGAAACGGGTCTGATGCACCATAATCCCCAAACTGTTGCCTACTGGTCCTTAGCATACCTGCCTCGGGATGGCAACTCTCCCAGGGAGTGACTGTGGCCATATCCCAGCTGACGGGGTTGGAGGCAATGCAGGTATAGGCCACATCTTGGTCTCCCAGTCCCAGTGAGACACTTAGCAGCTGTCCATTTGAGAAAAAGCTGTGCAGTTCTGCATCAACGTCCATTGTCCTCTCCCGTCGCCAGCTATAGGTTATGTCACTGATGTTGGAGACCCAGCAGGACAAGAAGACTTGGCAGGTATTGGGGGCTTGAGTCTCTTCTGTTGCAGCAGTGAACACTTGAACCATGGGCTTGGGTACCGTGTCTGTGTAAGAATGACAGCAGGTTAGAGGGCTGCTGGGTGGAGTCCACAGCTCGGTGTCTGGGTTCTATGCCTGGTTAGATGCTTCTTTTGTTTTTCAATCTCATTGACCTTCCAGTTACTGATTCTTTAGCTTGGTATCTAAAGCTTTTATGGAATAATATATATCAATCTCTTTAGCTACACTCTCCGCTGGTCTTCCTTGCCTATTCCATTGGTTTGCAGTTCTCCCAACCATGAGGTGCTATTTCATACATTTCATGCTTTTGTTTGGCTCATCTGTGCACATAAATGCTCCCTGCCTCCTCTAAAGGAGGTCTTAGTCTATATTCTGGCTTGTCCTCACACTCACAATCCTCCCTCTTCTGCTTTCAGAATGCTGCAATTGCAGGGCTGTGCCACCACGCCTGGTCCTATTCTTCCCCTTCTTGCCCACCTAGGGACCTCCTAGGGGTCCTTTAAGAGTCCCCCACCCCCGTCAGACACACTGCTTTATGCCTTGATTGGACCACCTTCCCTTATAGCTCAGGTGTGACTCAGAACTCTCCAGGCGCTCTGCCCATGTCTCCTTTCACAGTGTGCCAGTCAGTCAACAAGGGATGATGAGCATTTATTAGTTCAGGTAAGAACCCACATTCCCGAACTTTGGGTGAAGGAGACAGACACTGACACATGCTGATGAACAAGAAAATCATTGGAAGGGCATAAAATGCAGTGAATGAGGAGCCTGGAGGGAGGGGCCCTGTCATCGCCATAACCTTCGCTCTCTAGTTCTGGCAAACTGGTGTTGGATACCTGGGCTGCTAACTAATAGTGTCCTGGCATCCTAAGCAGCGGCTCCTCATTCCTTTATAGATTGATGAGTAAATCCCGAGTCTCGAGCAATGGGGCCAGTGGGAGAGCATTATAGTGACAACAGGAGGGCCGAGTCGCTGACAGCATTCCAAAGTCAAGCAGAGTAAAACCTCGTTAATGCCAGCTCAATCTGGTGGGATTTGTGATATGAAAAAAGAAATGATTTGCTGGGCATACTAATAGTATAAACAGAGATTACAGGGGGGATATTTACACCACTTAAGAGGACAAGCTGCCTCCAAACACGATCAGGCACAGTAGAAACACCCATCGACATTTCTGGTAACCGATCTGCTAATTCAAATCATTCTTATCTATTGTCAAAACCAAGCTCCTAAGGACGGCTGCCTGGCAGCTTCCTGCAATTAGTTCTAATCACGCTATGTATTTGGAAGCAATAAAACAGCAATTTCCTTAAAATCTGTAATTCAGATACCGAGAACAAGCCATTTTAGGGCTTAGTGGTGTGGGTGCTGCATGCATTACTACGCTCAATGTCCTTGTTTCCCATGTGCATCCGCTGAGACGTGGAGAAGGAGAGAGGCTCCACGGCCTGCGTGGCTGTGGAGGTTATGCCCTGTACAAGGGCACTGGGGTAGGGGGCTGCATAGTGCTGAGATCCAGCCAGCATTCTGCCTGTTGAGATGCACAACTTGCTTCAGGCCTTCGCGTTTCTGGATATGCACCCTCTAACTGTAAATCAGCATCCTGAACGGCTGGCTCAAGGGCAGGTAAGACAGCCGTCTTGGGGCTTTGAGAATCTTTCCCAGTTTGCTTACAGCATCTCCTGCCTCCTCTTTCCAGCCCCTCACCTATCCCCAGTTTCCATCCTTGAATTTGGACTCTCGACAACTGTCCACATTTTTGAGTATTTACTGAACCAGCAGTGTGGGGCCACTCATATTTTTGTCTCATGCCATTAGATAGAGGAGATGAATGGGAGTTAAAAAGGCCTGGAGCAGCAGAAGTGGATGGAGATAGTGGAGGAGAGAGAGGGGGAAGGAGGAGGGGGTGGAGAGAGAGAAAGAGAGAGGGAGAGAAAGAGAGGAAGAGAGGGAGGAAGGAAGGAAAAGAAAGAGGGAGAGAGGAAGGGAGGGAGGGAGGAAGGAAGGAAAAGAAAGGGAGAGAGGAAGGGAGAGAGGGAGGGAGAGAGACTGAGAAAGAGAACTCACTTTATCCTCAGCTAATTCATCCACTCCAGCTGCAGGGACAGTTGCAGCTGCACAAGAGGCAATGCTGGCATTGTGGAGCAAAGCCCACCCCATGAACCCTAAGAAATAAGAAATAGTGACTACGTTTAGCTCTTAAGTAATGCAGCTCAGGTTGGCCTTGAACCCACAGCAATCCTCCTGCCTCAGACTCCCAAGTGCTAGGATTATGGGCATGTATTACCTACCACAGCCAACTAAAAGATCTTTTAGGAAAAATAAGGCTGGGGGCGGGGATGGTCTAGATCCCTGTTAGAATTGGTTCTTAATATGTTCAAAGCCCTGGGTTGAATCCTTAACGCTAACTTTATAACAACAGAAATAAAAAAAAAGCAAAAGAAAGAAAGAAAACAACAAAACCTCCACAAAACAACAAAAACTCCATAATGGGAGTGTGGTAGGGTGGGGTGGGAGAAGGGAGAATGAAAGGTGAGAGGGAGGGGAAGAGGGGAGGGAGAAAGAAAACATGAGCGAATGGGATGGTTAAGATGGGGGAAGGACAGAGAGGGAGAGCAAGGAAAGAGATATCTTGATTGAGGGAGCCATTACGGGGCTAACAAAAAACCTGGCCTTAGGGAAATTCCCAGGAATCCACAAGGATGACCCCAGCTAAGACCCTAAGCAACCGTGGAGAGGGTGTCTGAACTGGCCTTGCCCTGAAATCAGATTGACAACTACTTTAATTGTCATCATAGAACCTTCATGCAGCAACTGATGGAAGCAGATGCAGAGATCCACAGTTAAGCACTGGGTGGAGCTTCCAGAGACCCAGTTCAAGATATGAACAAAGGGATCGTGACCTCATGACCATAATGGGGATACCCACAGAAACAGCTGACCCGAGCTAGTGTGAATTCACTGACTCTGGACTGATAGTGGGGGAACCTACATAGGACCCAAACTAGGCTCACTGAATGTGGGTAACAGTTGTGTAGCTTGGTCAGTCTGTGGGGCCACTATTAGTGAGACCAGGATTTATTCCTAGTGCTTGAACTGGCGTTTTGGAACTCATTCGTTTTGGAGGGATACCTTGCTCAGTCTAGATAAAGGGGGCAGGGCCTTGGTCCTGCCTCAAAGTGATGTGTCAGACTTTGTCGAGCCCACTTGGGAAGCCTTACCCTCTCTGAGGAGTGAATGGGGGCGGCAGGGTGGTGGTGGTGGAAGGTGGAGGGAGTGGGAACTGGGATAGGTATGTAAAATGAGAAAAGATTGTTTTAGAAAAATAAATTTAATTGAAAAAACAGAAATATCAAACAAAAATTCTATAATTAATTATAGTTCAAGTTGAATTTAACTAGTAAGTAAAAACTATTTACGTACTATGCCACATTTTTCTTTTCTCTTTAGTGGTAAATAAAATAATAGTACCACCTGTAGTCTACGATGATACCTTAGAGTGGATCGACAGGCCGCTTTGCCCACATACCACTGTGCTTCATCTTTATGGGCACTGTGCATAGTACGTGCTATAAGGCTCGCTGTACAAATGAGGAAAAAGGTGACGGTCTGGTGGGTAAACATCATTTCCAAGCCTGCTGAACCAAGGAAAGAACGAACGGCGTACAGATGAGGTTGGTGGACTGGTGAAGCCGGCTGCTTCGTGAGGTGCTCCCTTGGGAAACGTAGATGTGACTTCTGGGGAGTAGCTCTTCTCTGACTTAGCATCATGGCCAAAGGCCATGCCTTTCTGGAACCTAGCTCTCCTCAGCTGCCATGGCTTCAGGTGCTCGGCCGGCAGTTTTCAGGAGGAGAGTAGGGGAACCGGTGTTGGGTACACTTACCATACACTTTGAGATGCAGGGTCTGGGTCCAGGTTTTACCCCCTGTATCCACCATCAGCAAAGAGAAGTTGCCACTGTCTTCAGTTTTCAGGGGCCCAAGCTCCAGACTGAGGTTGCTATGCAGCTGGACTCGGCCCAGGAATTGGGAGCGGTATAGAGTTTCGAAGGAACCTCGAAAAAATGTGGCCAGGAGCTCCTCTGATGGCCAGAGAGATCGCCAGATGGCCTCCCGCACTTGGAAGCCGGTAGGGCACTCTGCGTCCAGCAGCACGGAGTCTCCCACCTTGCTTAGCACTTGGACACTGATAACCACAACGGGAAGGAGTGCTGTAAGGACAGAAACCATGGTGAATCTGCCTGTGCAGGTGTTTTGTCCTACTCCTGGCAAACAGCAGAGTTGCTTGGAATTGAATTATCCTCCCCCCCACCCCCCACCCAGCAGCTGTGCTGAGTTGAGGGTGTAGTAGTGTGTGTCATAGATGAGGGAACAAAACAGGAAGAGAATCTAAATCTCTGTTCATGGAGAAATCAGACCTCAAAACAGCCACTAAAATAAATTAAGGATCATGATGAGAAAAAGTGGCTGCACACAAGTAGGTTAATAGGAGTCCTCACCCACCCTGGAGCAGCCTTGGAGAAGAAACAACCCGGAGGAGGGATAGGAATCAGCCAGTCAAGCAGTGGCTATGGGAAAAGGGATGGAGAAGGTCTACAGGCTGAGGGAGCAGCACCAGGAGCAATGCAAGGGAGAGAGCATGGGGAAATGAAATTGGTTCTGTGGAGGGAAGGAAGTAGGCAGTGTCGCCAAGAGTTGGCGGGATCACACTATGCCATGAGGTAGCATTGGTTTCTGGGCTAAAAAGCCCAAAATAATTGTGTGTGTGTGTGTGTGTGTGTGTGTGTGTGTGTGTGTGTGTGTGTGGTGTCTCACATAGGCATGGAAAATGCATTGGAGGTGGGGGAAGTTCAAGGCTGTTTATATTAATGCAAGAGAGAGGTGATGGCTACTTGAACAAAGGAAGGGAACTGTGGGGAAGGGGAGGATTGAGACAGAGAGACAAATAGTGTAACTAGCAAACGCTGGGATTAGATTAGGTCCGGAGAGTGAAGGAGAGAACTGAGAACTCAGAGTGTGTACCCAGGTCTTTGGGATCCATCACGTATCATTGCATCTGATACAAGGACAGAGACAGAAAGGAGATGAGAGAGAAAGATGCTGGCTTCTCTGAGGAGTGGTTTGAGCGTGAAGTGTGAGGAAGACAACCCTTCTTGAGCTGCCCTCTTGACTCCTTTTCTGCCGGGTTCATGCTTTCTCTGGAAGATCACCATCACCTCTAACCTCTCCTGTCTCTCACTACAGGTATACATTCTTTCTGTTTTCCCACAGTGATCAGGGATCAGCACCCCTGTCTTATTATTGTCTGTTTCTGAATCAGCATGTCCCAGCAGGCCATGAACTCTTTCAGGTCAAGAGCAAATGTCTTCATCCATGTACTTGTAGTGCCCCGGTTTAATACCTGACTGCAGGAGTTCAGGAAATTGCACTGAGTTTGCGGAGAACTGACCTCAAGCCTGGCATAAGAGGAGACCTTGGGATACAGGGAAAGGTTAGGATGATATGTAATGTACCCAAGGCTGGGAGTTGGGATAAGGAGACCTGTTCAGCCTGGCTACTCTGCTGGCTGCAACTCTAGTCCTTATCCACATCCTTGCCATCTCTGGGCCCAGCCATCTCCATCCTGACAGGATAAGTGTTAATGGGAGATGTCAGTTGAAACTGAGGTTCTCTCGTGTCCTGGCTCTGCCACAAATCAGCTGTGTGACCTTCAGCTTGTCACCTTCCTCCTCTACACAGGACGGGGAGGCTATATCAGTGGTAGTGTGCCGTCCTCTGTTACCAGTAAGATACTCTCTAACAACGATAGAAGGTCTGAGAATGTGGTGAGTTCTTGTTTAGTCCTTATGAGTCCCTGAAGGATGCAACAGTGTCTCGGGGTCCGTGAACTCCATCCTGGCCCTGCAGCAGTTACTTTGTCATGTTGACTACTTGTTGATCAAAGAGGGGGGACTCAGGCACAGGTGGATGAAAGGGCCACTGAGGATTTGGAGACTATTCTCAAGCCCATATGGACCATGTTTAACCTGCTGTCATCTTTCTTCTCTACCCAATGTCTGTCTCCCCTTTTACAGGATATAGAGAGGGACCCTAGCATTCCTTCAGGCTGATAATCACATCCCTCAGACCATAGGGAGCCCCGCTCTGCTTTACCCTGGACTGTAGAGTTCCCATGTGCCAGTGCCTTCAGATCCCCATCATCCCTGCACCCAACTTTCTCTCAAAACTGCCATCATGAAAAATAAAAAATAAACAACAACAACAACAACAACAACAACAACAAAAAACAAAACAAAACTGCCATCATGTTAAGCTACTCTGGGTCCTAGAACAGGCGGCGTCTCCTGGCTACAGATGCCACTAACGCTGCCACTCAATTTCATCTGAAACCCTGCGTTAGGCTGCCCCAGACTTTGCTCCTTTCTCCACTTCTCCTTAGTTTCTGGGTTCTTACTTGGTTTTGAGAGGCCGCTGCCCAGAGGTCTGATGAGGGCAGCTGGGTAGGGGCTTACAGCTCCCCAGAGGACAGGCTGTCTGTCCATCTGCTTCACTTACCTTCGTAGAGAAGAAGACCCCAGAGGCACCACATGGCCGACGTCCTCCTTCGGAAGACTTCCTCAGCAAATCAGGATATCCTGGGCCAAATGAGTGCAGGGCAGGAGCTGTGGTCCTGCCGGAAAGTCCCATGTTCAGAAGGAGGAATCTTGACTCAAAACAAGATGTCTCGAAAGTGAAAGCATCCCAAATAAAGTGGAAGTTGGCTTCAGTCCCGGCTGGGCCTAACTGGGCTTTCAGGAGCGGATTCTTGTAAGTCAGCCCCTTTTCTGGGCATGTGCCTTGCCAAGGCATGGTGACAAGCACACCCACACAGCCCATGTGCTCCTTGCAGATTGTCACCAGGCCACTCTGCATCCACTCCTGCTCGTGGTTGTGTCTAATCATCATCATTGCCACAAACAGCCCTCTGAGCTGCAGTTCTGAGCACCACTTCCCCTCTGCTTAAAAATCTTTGGAAGCCTTCTGCTGCCCACTGGATAAAGACTAACCCCCGAGCTTGGCATGAGAGGCTCCCCTGCTTCTCCAGGCTGGCTGCCCACATCCCCAGTCCTCTCTGGCCGTCCCAGCCAATTGCTTCTATTTAGAACCGTATGCACCCATTTGAGGTTTGTGCATATTGTATTGACTTCCCCAGCAGGCATGCCCTTCCATCTGTCCCGGCAGACCCAGGCTGGCTCTGTACCCCGTCAGGCAACCTTCAAGGCTCCTTGACTACGGCAGGGTGACAAGCCTCTGTGCCCATGGGCACTTACTCTCCCCTTATGCCCCTGACACGTTGCTGGTCGTAGCTTCATAGTTTCCATAGGCTGCTAAGCAGCACCGCTTGCATTTGTTTCTGTGCTGGACGTGTTCATTATTTAATAAACAGCTGTTGAATGAGTGAATGACTGCTAAACACGGGTACCCCTTTTGCTTTGACGTAAGGCTGAGGACCAGTCTCAGAGATGAGCTTCTTGTAGCACTGGTGGACGTATTAGTGGAGAAGGAATTTAAAGCCAGTGTCAGGTTAGGTGGCTTTCTGGGGTCACAGAGGGGCTGAGCACAGGTTTACTCTGTCACAGTTACCCCTCCTCACTCTTATTCTCTGCTTTTAGTTATTTAACTTATTCTCCTCCTCTTCCTCCTCCTCTTCCTCCTCCTTTCTCTTCCTCTTCTTCTTCCTCCTCCTCCCCCTCTTCCTCCTCCTCCTTCCCTCAGTACTAGGGATGGAATGGAAGGCCTCTGGAATGCTCTATTACTGAACACCCCTATCTCTAGTAGGGAAGTTTTCTTAAGATGTTGCCCTTGAGAAAGACTTCTAAGTGTCCTGGGTGTGGATCATTGTGTGTTGTCCTGCATAGCCTCTGGCTTCTCAGTCAAATGGGTATCAGGCTTTGGTATTGTTGAATCAGGAGTTAGACATATAGGATGGGAGCTGGTGAGCAAGAGGGTTTGGTGAGAGAGTCCCTGCCTGTGGAAAGAGACACGCCAGAAAGAGTGAAGGCCGCTGGCACACAGGCAGTCAGCATCATGTGAGGGGTGGGGAGAAGGTGTCTGTGGACCTGGGCAGGGACTGTGTCCTGAGCAGGAGACTTTGAGCATAATTTAGATAGCAAGAGAAAAAGGAGGCCAGAGGTTCTGATGGGGCTTGAACACAAGGGGAGGGTAGAGTATGTGAAGAGTCTGTAGTGGGAAAGTACCAAGTAGGCTCCAGGAACAATGAAGGGCAGTCCGGGAGCAGTCTCTGGAATGCTATGTGGGAAGGGGACATTGGAGTCTGATTATGCAGGTTGAACCCTGGGTTCAGATATTCTGGACAGCAATGGCTCTCCTTGTTAGATACTCAAGTTCCCAGGGTTGCTGGCTTAGTGGGTGGATATGAGCCCAGGAATCTTAGTTCTAATAAGCTTTGCACCAGGTGAGTGTGCCACTGATGGACAGAAGGGATGCCGTAAGAAGTCCCTGTTGGAGGCAAGGGACTGTTTTTGTGCAGAGCAGCTTGGGAGAAGAAGAGGAAAGGAGTCTGAGATACAGGAGGGCCTGAACTAGGAAGGAAATGTCCAGAGAATAGAAGGTCTGCTGGACAGAAGTCCCAGCAGGGTTTGGGAATTTCTGGCTGTGGGACAGAGAAGCCAAGGGAGGGGACTCATTTATGGCTCTCTTGTCAATTCTGTCATCTATTCATCAAGCATTTATTGAGCATCTATTTAGCTGCCAGGTGCTGGGGACACAGAGATGAAAGGCTTAGCCCCTGCCCTTAAGGAGTTCGAAGTTTAGAGGAGAGATGGAGTGTGTAACCCAATAATTACAATCAATGCAACGTGAACAATGTCAGAAGTGTGCACAGGATGCCATGGGCAAAGAAAGGCCTGGGTGGCTGGAGGGCTGGGGAGGCATTAGTTGAAGGAGGGATGTTTGAGTGAGCCTTAGAGTACAAGCCAGATGAGGGTAGTGGTTTTGAACACAATCTCTAGAGTTAGTCTTCCTTCCAAGTTTGGCCATGAAACCACCAGAAAAGTAACTTCTGTTCTTCCGTGTGCTCACCTGAGGGGTGGGGGTGGGGTCAATAACTGGATCTCCTTCTTAGTGTTGGCGATGAACACCAGTCAGGGTTTACTAGGGATCTGGTCCACAGTGAGGCTCAGGTTTTAACCCCGCCTGCAAGAGGCCAGAGACAGGAAAGATGGCTGCAGAGAGAGATAGTCTGATGCTGAGCAGGAGTCCAGATCTCATCAGAGCAGGTCTCCTTCACTTTTCATCTCCTGTGCTGCCAAACATGGGCTTTGCCTGAGCTGATGACCTGAAAGCATCCGTCAGATTGTGCGGGGTGATTCTATAGTGCATGAGACCAGCATGGTTTGTGGGGTGCAAGTGTGAAGCAAAGTGGGCCGGATCCTTAATTCCTTTGGAGGACACGGTCACCCCTAGTGGTCCTCTAACACTTCCCCCTGCCAGTTGACAGAAAATAGCCTACGTCCCCAAAGGGGACAATCTTTCCTTCTGCTATGTGACAGTGGAGAAAGGCAGACTCAAGAAGGAGGCGTTCGCTGCCTTCCAGGTGCCGGGAAGGGTTAAGTCTTGAGGCAGGCAGGTTCTCCCTGGAACTGCTGCTAATCACTGGTTCACACCACATTAATTACCCAGCCACAGGGGGGAGTGTGCTCGAGTAAATTAGCAGGTGAGTTCAAAGGGGCCACTCCCTGCATTCCTTAATTAAGAGAGCAGCTGGCTGCGACTCCTGTCTCCCTGGGGCCTTTCTGGGAAGCTGGAGTCAGGAGGAGTCTGCGCACACTGAGGATGGAGAGAAGTAGCTGCCTTGGCCATGGGGTGCAGTCGCGACCTCACCATTAGCCCATTTCTGTCACTGACCACAGGAAGGGTGAGCAGGTGGCCAAGCAACCTGCCTGAACAGAAGCAACAACCTACCCACGGCTGCTTGGTGCAGAGATTCAGGCTGGGAGGCGTGGGATGAGGGTGAGCCACGCTGTGTTTGAAATGCCCTGTCTGCACAGGCAGCATGGGGCCATGCTTCTTCTACAGGGAGAAGTGAGAAGGTTGAGAGAAGGCAAGATGAGGGGTGGAGAACTATGCAACCAGGAGAGAGGAGAGCATGGCAGGGAAAGAGGCTAAGGCAGAATGGCTGTGGGGGGAGGAGGCATTCGGCAAACTCCCGGGGAACGAAGGGTGAAGGAAAAGGACCCGGGTGTTACTGCGGGATGGGCAGCCTCTAGATGTAGCTCTGAGGGGAAATGGACAGTTGACAATAAAGATGGCAGACAGAACTCTACTGCTCCTCCAAACTTTAAGGAGGGCGATATAGACTGTGATCCTGACCAGACCAAACCAGATTGGAGTTATTCCTACTAGGCAAGTTTCTCAAAACCAAGGTGTCCTTTAATCATTCATTTGGAAGGAGTCTAGCTTGTGTTGTCTCCCGTGTTACAGGCTGGCCTTGAACTCACAGATAATAAAGAATGACCTCGAATTTCTGACCCTTCTGTCTTTACCCCCTGAATGCTGAGATTACAGACGATACCCATTATTTACAGTTTATGGGTTACTAGGGGTTTGAGCCATAGGTTTCGTGTATGCTAGGCAAGCACTCTACCTAGCTCTGGCCCCAGCACAGTTTCAATCCTATCTGGACTATAACTTTTGAAATGTCTGATTGCCCTTTTCTTCCTCACTATCTGCTTTCTCTGGCCCTTTCTGTCTTGGGAGCCCAGCTCTCTCTGTGTTCAGTTCATCAGGCAGCTTTACTAATAATCTTCTGGGTCAGAGGGTTGCTGCTCTATGAATTCTTAATAGATCATCTATCCAGGTTTGAAGTTTTCTTTTTCAATATCTTGTAAGCCACACCTGCGAGTTCTGTCAGCAGATGCCAAGCCTCTGGCCCCAGCGACCTCTCCCTAGCCAGCCTTCTTGGGCAGCTGTGGTATGGCAGGAAGACTGAGCCTGAGGCAAAACACACTGGGGAAGCCCTACTTCAGCCACTTCCTAGAAACAGCCACTGTTACTGTTTCTGCATGTGTGTATTGGATATACCCTACTGGTTGCCCCGAGATGGTGCCAGTATGGTCTCCTTCAATTCTATCACATTCAGCTTCTTCCGCTTCATCCTAGCTTCTTCTGCCTCATCCTGGCTCTAGCTTGTTGTAAAGAGGTGGAAGGGATGGTGTCTTTAGTGAGCCAGGGGCATGGTACCCAGGTGGGAGAGAAGGAACCAGTAGGAGACACCTGCAGAAGAGTGGGTGGTGGGGCATCCATCTTAGGGCCCCTTTACTTTTGAGGCCTTGAGATACCTTTCTAGAGATGTGAAGGAAGGCTGCATGAAAGGGAACAAAGCCACCACGGAGTTGTATTGAGGTAGAGAGAAGGAGCTGGAAGCTCATTCATGCCTTCACCCTTTACCAAACACTTGTCGGGGTCTCAGCTTGTGCAGACCAATGCATCAAACCAACACTTACAGAGCGTCCAGGACGCATCATCCCTGTGAGGTCAAGGCTCACAAACTGGGTGGCCGTAGTCTTGTATTGACGAGGAAAGTGACTATCACTATAGACGTGCTTCACGTGAGAAAGGCTGAAGAAAGAAGTAGGCATGGACTGCTTTCTGAACTGATTGAGGAACTCCCCCTAGTCTCTGCTGAGGCCCCG